ATAAGCTTCTAGATATTACGCTCAGCCATTTTTAAGTTCTTACATGATTTCCCTCTCATGAGACAAATTTGATGCAGACAAACTGAAGGAACAGTTTCCAAATATAGTTGATGACCCTGAATTTTTCTTTTTTTCTTCTTTTAATAAAAAATCACAACTAGAAGCCCACATTTGTTCAGGCTCAGTATCTTTTCATTCAAGCATTAGAAAGAAAAAGTCTATCCTGATGGGATAGCTTTGTGCTTATTCATGGCAGCCAATTTTGTAAACAAAATTTGAGTTTTTAACAGAGTGATGGCATTCAATGGTCGCAGTAGCATCAGAAGAAGAGTAGTTTTGGTTGATTACAGGATCTTTCTAATGCAATTTGATACTAGTAAGATTTTATTTGAAGTTTAAATTCTTTTTTTAAGCTTTCTACTGGCAACATTTGGACGTTAGAATTACTAAAGGAGGTTGATTTTATCATTTTGCAATAGATATGCATTCCTATAGTAATAAAATTGTGGATTTCCGAATTAATTCCAAAAAATTCACTTGTTCCAAATGTAGCCTTAGAGTTTCTAGCTAATCAAACCAGGATTAACTCAAGCCTATAAATACTCTTCTAATTTCTTTGAAGAGAATAAAGCTATGTTACTATTCAGATAATCTTCCAACAGATTTCTTTTGTATGATTGCATAACGCAATTGTGACCAATGAAATCATTCTTAGGTATGATGTCTAATGACCTCTAACGTGATGCATAGGTTCATACTTATTTCTTAAGTAGGCAGATTCTTACTAATTTGTCCATTGGAATTGGAGATTATATACCACAAAGTGCCTTCTGAATCTAGAGGCCTATACTCTCTACTTATACCACATTTAAGTCTTAAAAGCAATTAGGCAAGCCCCACAAAACAAGCCATATATCTTTGTAACATATGCTTCCTTCCGTTACATTTCGGGGAGTGGGGAGGGAGGACAAGGGGACTGCTTTCAAAAGATTGTATCCTACATCTGTTGTCCTTTGTATTATTAAAAAATTGAACATAGTTGCACATGCATGCACAATTATAGAAATAGGGCCAACAAGGATTCTGTCTTATGAGAGCCTTTTACCCCTTACCAAAGCCATAGCATTGTTATTCAAAACTTACCTCCCTTGATCATCACCAAGCCTGAGTGACGATATGACAACTTCAGCAGATTCATCATCAAAGTAGACATCCTGCACATTTTGAATAATGTTCATATAAAATCAGAAGACAATCAAAAACAGCCTTCAGTATAGTTCCAATTCTGCCTCACAGCTGTTACCTCATCATCTCGATCAAGAGTACCATGGTCCTATAACCAAGATGATAAGAACAAGCAGTCAAGCCATCAACAGTTTTAAAATGGAAACTTACAAGAAGAGGATGCACCAAGTCCAACTAAATACCTCTTCGGTGTCATCATTCCCATATATTTTGTATCTAAAAGCTTGGCTTAAATTATTA